CACTCATTGGAAAACATCAACAGAGTTCATTTGAAAGGACTCTCACACCAACGTCAATCATAAAAGCTAGAACCAGGGCTGCGGAGTCGGAGTCGGAGTCGGAGTTGGAGTCGGAGTCAGAATCGATTTTTAAGCCGGAGTCGGAGTCGAAGTCACCCTAAAATCCATCGACTCCGCAGCCCTGGCTAGAACTAATAGAATCTTCAATTTGGGACTTAAAAACAAAAGCCGAGACCATGAACCAAAGTCATAAGCAAGGAGCTGAAAGCAGGGCTATTAGCCGAAGCCAGCAGTCAGTGTTAGGGAAAAGGTAAGAGTGAAAATAGAAATCGCATCTAAAAGCCGAAACCCTGGATCAGAGTTAGCAGTGCGAGTCCTGGATCAGAGTTAGCAGTCCGAACCCTGGATCAGAGTTAGCAGTGCGAGTCCTGGACCAGAGTTAGCAGTGCGAGTCCTGGATCAGAGTTAGCAGTCCGAACCCTGGATCAGAGTTAGCAGTGCGAGTCCTGGACCAGAGTTACAACTCCAAGCCATTGACAATGGACCGGTAGACATGACTGCATACATGATGGAACCATATACTTCTGAATACCAAGACCTATGGTATTGATGGAACCATAGACTTCTGAATACCAAGACATATGGTTTATGATGTCTATGATGGTATGCAGATGTCTATAATGGAGTAAACTAAACAAGTGAACAACAGCCGTTAACCCTCGCCGGCACAGGCCATTTTGAGTCCTTCGACGGCACAGGGGGGGGGGGGGGTACAACCCCCTCCTCGCGTTTGGCCCCTGATCGAGCTAGAGCTTTGCGGAAAAAACGAGCGTGTTGCCCGTCACAAGAGGAAGCCGATGATACCCAATTTTAAGGTCCTAGGTCATCGGGTGACCTTCCAGGTCAGGTCAATGACCCTAAAACCGGGAAAATCGGGACCTGTTAGAAAGTCGTAAAGTGTGGCTGCTATGTGGTTTTCCGGAGTGCTGATCACGAATATCGTGTTAGTTTTGATCTTTAAGGTTTGGTCTTAGTGTTAGTGTTCGTGTTAGTTTTGATCTTAGTTTTGATCTAGTTTTGATTCTTTAAGCATTTAGACCAGGTCGGGTCAGGTCAGGTCAACCGGTAGGGGTTGTGACGGGTATTCGTAATACGTGTCAACCGCCTCGGACAGCTTCGTAACATGTTACGAAGGCACCAAAACTACTTCGTAAATGTTCAAATGGTTGCTAAATTCGAATTCAGCTCCAAAAACTAGCCTAGAAACATGTAAAACTCGAAAAAGTGAACCGAGGTCACCCGAGGTCACCAAAGGTCAATGACCTGACCTGACCTTCAGGTGACTTTGACACCCACCCTAATGCATGGGAGCAACATCAAATCACATGTTTGAACGTTTGAAACCACGAAAAGCTTGCAAACGCGCGGTTAATGCGAGCCGACATGCGCCGAACCGCGATTTCGGCCAAACATGGTCACATAAAAGAGGTCACGGGTCAAAGGTCATTGGGGTCAGGGTCATGAAATTTTCAGGGTAGGTGTAAAATTGATCAATGCGAGGGTACTGAAAGTTTCGTCGCGATCGGCCGCTTTTTACGCGAGCTATTTGCGAAAAACCTTAGGGGGGGTTGCATCAACCCCCCCGTGCCGGCGAGGGTTAACCGACTGATTAGATACCGGCGCATTGAACCACGTGGAATGATCGAAAACAACGATCGCGGCGCTACCGTGGCCGGCATCGAAACCGTCATTGGTAATGCTATTGACAAGTACCGAGGCTATATGAGTGCAGGTAAATTTATATAAGAAACGGCTTTTTCTATTCGCTCGGCATTGTAATCTGTCTGTGACACGCATTTCATCTGCTCTTGTCAATGCCATCGACAATATCATTGACAATTTAGATGTCATTGCTAATGGTCATTGATAATGTCATTGCTAGTGCTGACTAGCAAATGTCATTTGATAATAACCATTAACAATGTCATCTCAGGTACAACAAACATTACAAGCAGCAGTGCCGTAATACACAAGTAGAAGTAGTTAGAGATGCATAGTTTATACCGAGCAGAGAAAGCAGTTTATACTTTTCGTCAGACTTTTTTATATACCACTCATGAAAAGGACGCTACAAGTTACGCACAAAAGTAAAACATTTTATGTTTTATTTTTATAGGTTTCTTCATGTGTGTTGAGAGCAATCAATACACGCATATTGTGAATAAGCAATTTCATGTAACGCGAATATGAACAGTATCCGCAATACTACTTGCTCATCAAATGCACTTACCAAATATATCTAGGTTTATTCATGTAGGTATGTGTGTTTGTCTGTGTTTGTATTGTTTTTAATTCCACAACGGGTGTGCGAAAAGCCAACATACCAAAAGGGATCGCTCATACCGTGCCGCGAATGGCCCGCTCACCACACTGCCACCCTCGGTCACTGGGCCGGGTCGCGTTGTTTATGGTCGGCGGGCCCCAGCCGGGCAGCAGTGATACAGTTTGATAGTGGCCCGGAATTCCCAGAGACTCTGACCAAATCAGGGGCACCCGTCCGACCGGAGTGGGGGGAGGGGGGGGAGGACTGCACGAACGGGGTTTTCCGGGCATCGCGGTATGCAAGGTGACCTTAGCAGTGGCATAATGTGGGCATAGCGGGCCAGCGCTGGTTGGGAGGTAAAGTTATTAGATGACCATAGCAGCGGCATAATGTAAGCATAGCGGGCCAGCGCTGGTGGGGAGGTAAAGTTAGGTGACCTTAGTAGCGGCGTAATGTGGGTATATTGGGTCAGCATTGGTTGGGAGGTAAAGTTAGGTGACCTTAGTAGCGGCGTAATGTGGGCATAGCGGGCCAACGTTGGTGGGCAGCTTTATAACGTTAGCTGACCTTAGCAGCAGCATAATGTGGGCATATTGGGCCAGCGTTGGTAGGAAGCTTTATAACGTTAGGTGACCGTAGCAGCGGCGTAATGTGGGTATATTGGGTCAGCGTTGATGGGCAGCTTTATAACTTGTGGGCGTCGCAGACGGTATAATGGGGACAGACGGCATACTGGGGAAGGGGGGTATATGGGGCCAGTATTGGTGGGAAGCCTTATAACATGGAGGCGTTATAGACGGCGTAGTGTGAGCATATGAACAAATATTGGTGGGCAGGTGTATAACACGGGGAGGGGCGGTGCTGGTGGTTGGGTATTAGAGTAGCTCTTTACACAATGGAATACTGGACATCTAATTGATCCGGTTCATCCCTTTAATACCTCCTAAACTTATGTAATTGTTAGCTAATAGGGTTAAAACCTTTCGAATAGAATATTGATCGTTTTGCTACTTTGCTTTCAAATTTAATTAGGTGTCACCTAATGTTCCATCGTGAAATATCCTTTTGGGACGGTACATGGATGGTACAATAAGGGTGCATCGGGCCAAGCATTGGTGAAACATTAAGGTCACTTGTTTGAATGTGCATTGTGCAAGGTGTGATATAGTTATAAAATATTTAAACCAAAAGTCCCGTATTTTTTGACGCGGACTACCTGCATAATGCACATTTAAACCCGAGCATAAGTTTCACAAACCAGGCCGAAGTGTCCCGATAAGTCGTGTCTTTGCGGCTGGGAGGCTCAGGAAGCTGTTGATAGAGTCAGGGGGGAGGGGGGACTCATGGGCAAGCCATGTGGCACCGTCCGACTGCGCAATAGAGAGCGGTCCTCTCTCCGGCGCTGACCTCACACGGTCATCATCATCATCATGTATTGAAAAGGTCAATTTTAACGTTTTGATTTTTATATAAGTGCATACCCCCATCAAAATTTTTAAGGCGCTTACGCAGCGCTTTAAAAAAGCACTTTTTTAAAAAGGCCCGAAGAAGTCTTTGATAGACGAAACCGGTTCGCTTATTTATATCTAATTGTTTCTTGAATACATTCGTAGGCTACTGGCTCTTTTCTACATACCTGTCACCAATATATCTACATGCTCAAGATATCTCCTGTAGCTGTTGATGATTTGAACAGCGCTTGTATCGACGTAGCTTCTTCAGCGAGCTGTCATCCCGCAATGGTCTTATCGCTGCAGATCAAGTATGGCCGACACATTAGCAATGGCACACTAACTATAGGTGGCAGCACTATCATTCACGCCTATTATAGGTGGCGCCACCATAGTCTTCACCATAGCTACGGTTAGTCAATAGCCGTGTTTGCTTCCTGTTCACAGGTCTCTGCGGGCCGTAGGGGTCGTGCCGTGTACTCAGACCCCTGTGGTGAGCGGCAATACCGGGACTCGCTGCACGAGCCGTGGTAAATTCCTTTGCATGTCGGTGATTTAAAGTCGGGCCACTTTGTTGCATTTACCGCGCTGCATTAAGTCAGCGAGGTTTTCCGGGTGGGTCCTGGTCGTCATCAGCTTCACATCGTGACTCTGTGGCACGGCACAGCCCACATCGCGGCACAGTGGAGCCCGCGGAGCACCAAATGTCCTAAACCCGCACGGCACATATGATCGACGCAGCAGAGCGGGATGTCTTGTATACAAATACCTACATAAAACAATGCAATAAATGCGAATAGTTCCGTCCATCTCCGAGAAAATGTATGTACTATCGCTCTAAACATTCTTCATGGACGCACTTAATGAAATACAGAACAATATAAATGAAAACACAACAACCAGCTAAGAACACTCGTCCTGCTATGAACAGTGAACACCCAAAACATAGGTAAACTTATTATGTAAAGTGTAGTGACTGATAAGCTAGACCAAAACCACTTTGACACTCAACACAAAGACTCGCACCAAACACTTGAACGAAACTACTAACAAATATACCTTACAATCAAGACGTTAAAACTCAAACCCCGCAAGCACAAACAATAATAGAAACCTTATCAACTACTGAGACCTACTGAAACTCAACACCCCAAACCCCATCATAAACTCTCACTCAAACTCCACTCACTCCCCACACTCTCTCACTCCCATCTCGGGGAACTTACCCGTTGTGCGGCGACGCCTGAGTCTGGTGTAACATCCCGGACGCCTGACTTTGGTGTAACATCCCGTAACCGTCCGGAACATAGTTGAATCCGGACGCCGGAATCGAGCCCGGAATCACGCCGGAGTGCATCAGAGGATTCATAGCGAGTCCTCACAGATGCTTCGGTGGGTTTCCTCTCGAGTCCTCCAAAAAGAGTCCTCCGGAAGGAGTGTTACGTAGTCCTCAGAGCTTTCTGGAGAGTCCTGAGACTCCTCCGAGCAGTGCTGATAATCCTGCAGACAATGTCCTCAAAACACCCCGGGAAGTGTCCTCAGCGTCCTCAGAGATCTCCCGGACCGAGTCTTCCTGTCTCTCCGGGCAGAGTCACGTCCTCAGCGCGGCCGACTGCGTCCAACACTGCGCCCCCTCCAAAGGCGGGCGGGCGAGACTCCGCCGACGCCGGCCGCACACGGTCTCTGACCGCCCGCGATACGGCCTCCGTCCAACTCCGTCGGACGCCGGCACAGGTGGCGCTAGTGTCGCGCGTCGAATAAAAAAAGTCCCGGGAAAGCCGTCGGCCGGTCTTCTGCGCTCGGCCGGTAAATAAGGAGCGGTGAGTCAGACCATCCGTGCTGGGCGGTGATTGTGAGGTAAAAATGATTAAAACCAGATCATTGTCTCGATGGAGGTGTCGTTTGTCAAAGAAAGACTCGCGACTAGCCTATCAATATGGGATCCGTCAAAAGCAGCACTGATTGTAAAGATATTAAGTTATTGACGACGTTGAATATAAAAATCGATCTCATCCGGTTTGCCGTGAATTGTATCGCGCTACCAATTTTGGAAGAGTTTTGGTCAATATCACATGAATGATGTATCGTTCTGACTAAATATGTGAGGTAGAGGGAAGGAGGCTTCCCCAATTGAGCCCATCCCTTACAGCCAGGAGTGTAGAACTAGCCCACCAGCCGCGGGGCGAGGGGGGGGGGGGGCATGAAGCTGCTCCCCTTATGTTGTGTGTGATGTCTCCGAAGCCTGATCAGGCAGAACAAAAAACTTCATATAGCTTCAAACGAATATATAAGGTCATATTTGAAAGTTTTGTAGGTAGTTTAAGCACTTACCCACGAGCCGCTGGGGAAGGGGGAGGGGAGGCATTAAGTTGCCCGCAATTCCAAACGCTGTGTGTGATATCTCCGAAACCTGATAAGTAATAAATTTGCAACGTGATATAGCTTTCAACGAATACCTAAGGTATAGTTGAAGAAAGTTTGGTGGATGTAGGGGAAGGTGGGGCAATATGGGCACCCTAAGAAAATGTGTCTCGTGTTCCTTAGCCCGCGCGGGCCCGGGGGGACAAAATTTACCCCCCCCCCCCACGACGAATATTTGCCATAGCTCCTGAGCGTTTTGCGTTGGGGAGGCGCAAAACTTTCAGTACCTTTTCCCCATCAATTTCACATCTCAAGTAAAAAATTTGGACCCGGACCCATTGAAGACGTCACAGGGTCCATTTTCCTAGATCTTTGCACAGCTAATTTCGACGTAACAGACGTGAATTTCAAAAAGCTGCCAAAATAAGAGTTTTAGAGCTAGAGACAAATTTCAACCACGGTTGTGAAGCATATGACTTAGGGTAAAAATACAAAAATAATTTTGGTGACCTGAGGTCAGAGGTCAGGTCAACGAACCCGAGCTGGAATTTTAGTTTTTTTTGCAAATAACTTCAACACAAATGGCCGTAGAGCTAAGGCAGTGGTACCTACGCATTCGTCTTGTCAAGACGCGTCGAATGACAAATATTTTGTTTAGAAAAGGTCAAGTCTTACCTATGTTGACCTCATATGACGTCGGGTGACCTTCAGTTGACCTTGACCGATGGAAGGTGTTGTATGGCGAATTTTTAGCCGCTGATTACGAATCTGGCAGCCATTCTGCTCTAAGCATCCATTTAGAGCGTCAGGATAGCAAAAATGGCAGAATTAATATGGCTTACTTGAATAAATGAAATAGTCTCTAGCAAGGACACTCTTGCCCGACCTCGACCTTGTGGCAGCCTTTTATTGTAACGTGAACCACAAATAGGTGCCTGATATCCTTCCAAATATTTCAAAACATTTTGGAAATTAGTGTACAAGATATACGAAAAAGTGCAAAGTTTGAGATAAATTTTGAGCATGACATTCCCAGTAAACATGCCGACGTCGGCCCGACGTCGGGCCGACTGCCGAGGCCCGGCCCGACGTCGGCCCGAAGTCGGTTCAACCTCGGCCATACATCGGCTGGACGTCGGGTACGCCCGCATGTACCGACGTCCAGCTGAAGTCCAGCCGACGTCGAGCCGACGTCGGGCCGAGGTCGTCTGCCGAGGTTGACGAGATCGTTTGTCGTTGGACCGACGTCGGCATGTTTATTGGGACAACGCGCCAAAAGCATCAGCCGGCGATGGGATTCGAACCCCGTGTCATTTGAACCCGAGGTTAGTGCGCTAACCACTACACCACACAGCAAGATGGCGAATTCTGTTTGTTTTGTTGGGTTATGCCCTTTCGGTCTGACAAGACCATTTCAGAGCCGGAAGGATGATAGGATGGAGACATTGGTCTTCTTGGCGAGCACCCTGGGTCCAGTTCATATAGAGTCCCATTGCTGTTACGTGACACTTATTGGAAAAGGCGACCCCACATTCCACAAATGGATTCATATAGCCACCCTTACACACCTGCATCAACGTTTCCCAAAGTGTCCCTTTGATAAGTGGCACTTTGGCAAAGTGACACTTGCCGACTGGCCTTTCTATATGAACTGGGCCCGGCCCTGGTGAGTTGCCGGGGCTGAGCCTGACCAAAGGATAGGCCGAGCAGCCCCCAAGCACTCACCGCACCCGGCTACGGGCGAGCTCGGCTTACGGGCAATCCCAAATGGGATAAAGTTTCCCGTCCAGTCCGGATCAGGGGGTTGCGGCGTGGAGGAATATTTGAGTTTCCTGAGGATATTTTGAATACAGAAGCTCTTTATGAAACATGAAACATGCATTTTATATTATTTTAACGGTCAAAACAGCGGCCGATGTCGGTCCGACGTCGGCCCGACGTCGGCTGGACCTCGGCAGTTGATCTCGGTGCGACGTTGGCCCGACGTCGGCTGGACCTCGGCTGGACGTCGGAACATGCGGGCATACCCGACATCCAGCCGACGTCGTGCCGAGGCTGGTCCGACGTCGGGCCGACGTCGGCATGCCGATGCCGAGGTGACGACGTCACCCCGACGTCGGCCGACGTCGGGCCGACGTCGGCATGTTTACTGGGTTGACCTTGACCTTTGATTTTGAGCACATTTTCGGAATCCTCAACTCCTCTTTTTTCGTTTGACACCCAATTTCGGCGGTTTTATGCATTCTGCCGTCCTCTGGAACATTTAGTTTGAGATCACTACACATTTCCCGGTTTTTGCATTTGACCTTGACATCTGACCTTGAAAATTGACCTGAGGTAAAAAAAATAAGTGCTTTGGAATCGTCTCGTACAGACAGATCTTTCGTTTGGTACAGTTTTTCTTTCCGTAGCTCCTATATTTACGGATTTAGCCAGGGGGGGGAAATAGTTTCCCCCTGGCTGCAGTGGTTGGGATTATCCCCGGGCCCGGCCGGGTTAACCCGGCAGGCGGTGGGCCTACCAGCCACCTTCCGCGCGGTGGGGGGGGGGAGGGGCACTTTTTTGCCCCCCCGTATCTCCAAAACTACTGGACGGATCCGGAAAACTCAAACGGCGTTCGATAGCCCTGTCAAATTTGTCGAGGGAAACCAAATTTCATTGACCTCGGGGTCACCGATTACGTCACAGGTCAGGTCAAAGATAAAATGTTTCACCGTTCACGGGGCTTCTAGGGAAAGTGCTATATGTAAAACGCATTTTGTCGAAAATCAGCGATAAGGCGTCAGTTGTCTAGTACATATGTTGCTATTAGAGGTCACTGGTCATACCAGGTCAGGTCACAGGTCAGGTCACCAAAGGTCACCAAGGGTCACCACATGCCCAGCCAGCAATTCGCTTGGGCTAAACTATGGCAAACGTCGGGCAGCTTGGGCTTAGCTTGGGTTTTCCCACTTAGACAAAAACCAATGCATTTTTTACTTGGGCTGAGCTTGGGCATGCCGCAGCTATGCCCCAGTGTGGCCAGCTGCAGCTCAGCCCGTCATCCGCCGGCGCATCCAAAGCAGGCTCAACTTGGGCGGAGCGCGGGCTGATCAAGCTGGCTGTCTCCTTTGGCTAACTGCAGTAAAGCCAGAGTTTAGCAATGTTTGATCGGCTGTTCACGCATGCGCATTTCTAAGCCAGTCACGTTTTGGTCGGGCTTACATCGGGGTACCGCCAATGGTCGCTCAACTACTGTTAACGCCAGACCCCTTGAGACCCTAATTTTTCGCGATTACTTTTAAATGCGTGAAGGAATTTCAACCAAGCTCAGGACATGGCCGTTTCAAGACAGGCCGAAACTTTTACAATTTAGATATTTTATCGCCATTTCAATATTTCAGGCACTTGTCATTGACTCGTAATGTTAAATTTCGAGCAAGATTTTCATCCGGTGTGTAGAGGCTATCACCAGTCAGTCTGTGATACGTTATGACGTCACAGCTAAGCCCCGCCTCTGAGGTCTTGGCCTGCGGCGGTTTCGGGCCGGCGCGCGGTCACTCTCGCTGTGGCGGGGAGCGGGGAAGGGCGACGGTCGAGCGGTGCCGAAAGCCGGCGGAGTTGTGCGTAGCGTCTTGGCTGACAGTGCCCAGAGAGCGACATGATGACTAAGGAGTCATAAATGCTCAATGCGCATTGCTTCTACAATGCTGATATGTTCGCTGATATTTTTTTTTTTTTATAAGCTGCATATGACGGGCAGATGGCATATAACTGACATAAGGTTAGGAAATATTCACCTGTATTTAAAGCCTATGGCGTTGCAGATAATGCGATAATGGGATGTCGGATGTCACCAAGTAGCTGCCGATTTGTCATTGACATCGCTATACAACCATCGAACAACGCAATAATAAGTTAATTGCCTGAGCTTCACATCATACGGCTCACTCGTATTTCACACAGATACCCTACATCGAAAATCGTATTTGTTAGGAATCGTTAACGTTTGTTCGAAGCACGACTGAGTAGTAGGTTGAGGAGTGATGGTCCTCTTGGTCCTATATACAAGAGTCAACAAGAGCCTAACATTTACTTGACCGTCTGCTGCAATTGACTCATAGCACGTGAAGCGTCAGCGAAATTCATAGTCCTTCACAGATGGCAGGGGTGTCGTTTGTACAGAGGTCGCTGATGGCCACGGGTCAATGCCGCAGTCGTGGGCGGAGCCTAATGTCATATGACGTAGAAAGCCTCTATCCAGGATGGAAAAACAGTTAACATTACGAGTCAATGACAAGTGCCTGAAATATTGAAATGGCGATAAAATATCTAAATTGTAAAA